TGGGGCAGTAACTATAGTAACGCAGAGCAGGCGGAGCCGTGATGTCATCTTCAATGAGAACCACAGAAAAACAACATCAGCCGTTAGCTGCTAGCACTCAAGCTCACAGCTCCTCATATCTGTTCAGAAACTAGACAAAAGTTAAACAAGTACAAACCACAGACTGTCTGTGTCATGGCGAATACAGTCGCTGGTTTATGTATGTCTGTATAGGCCGTTGTTGTGAGTGTGGACGGTCGGAGCATATACTGCGTTAGCTTAGCAGATCTCCATTCATAAAACACGCATTTTAAAAGGTTTTTCGCCTGCCGTCTGTCTGCAGACTTGTCAAAACATTAATTCATGGTTTTTACTAACCGGTATCAGTATGTTGTTACTTCGGCATCATTTTGAAACGTGTATTACAATTAAATCACGGGCAAATATGTTCATTTTGTTGTAGTTGTGATTTTCTCTCTAGTTTAGCATACTCAGCCCGACTCAGCCTGGTTGTTGGCCCGCTAAGAACCTCAATTTTATGGGGCCAGAAAAACTGTGAAATAGTACCCGCTAGCCGGTACTACGCCAAGTGGAAACGCAACCAAAAACGGGCCGGGAACGGCACGCTTAAACCGCGCTGTAGTGGAAATGCACCATTAATGTCCTGTGTAAAATAAAATGTCAAGTACCGTAGACAGGCAATCCAATTTTTGGTCCTTTAGAACAAATTAAGCATTGTTTTAAACACCACAGCCTACCTGAGTATTGTTGCTGACCTTCAGTGTACCTTTATTCTAATTGCTACACCGAGTGAGATAAAACCGCACAGACTTTTATCTAGTTGCCAGTTCATTCAAGTTAGTTTTCGAACCGGGAAATGACGAGTACCCCAAAGTACTGTGTTAGAAATGTATAGTAAGGGTCCCCAGCACATAGAAACCACCGGATGCTAACTTGCATAAGTTGCGTTAATTAGCATTACATTGCATTATAACCTATGCAGACAATAGTGTAAAAATGGCTTGGCTGAATTGGAACATTTTGGAGTAGTTTTGTGGGTTATTAAGGATGTTGAATCAATTTAAGCCTTTTTAAGGATCTATCATTTGGATTGGACAGATAGCTTATTTATTTGAATGCAAATTGTCCACAGTAGAGGTAATCATTCTTATTTCGAGCTCTTTATATGCAATGGTCACAACGCTACTCATGGTAGTCAAAATCAGCCCACAGGGTATAAATATGGCTATAAAATGATATTTAATGTTTAGTAACGAAACATATGCTAATTGTGCAAATTGCCCAACATATGTTAGTTAGCATCCGGCAGTTTGTAATTACTAGGGACCCTAACTATACATTTCATACATAAAACGTTGGGGTACTCAACATATTCTGGTTTCACAATGCTGGCAACTAGACTATTAAGGCTTTTCTGATAGCAAAAGGTGCAACATGTACTGTACCTACTATATTAGCAGCTAAGTGTATCCGTGAGAGACGGCACCAAACGGCTAATATTTCAGTTAAAACGGAAAAAGATTTTCACCAAGAAGCTTCTAATAGTATGTCTGATTAGGAAAGACAGCGTTCCCTAAAGCCCTGAGGCTGTGTTCAGTCAGGGGAGCTGCTATTGACAGATATTGAAGGATTTACAGTTGTAAGGGTGGAGAAAGCAGGATGTCCAAATTAAGCCAACAAGTCAATCAATGCTGTGTTTAAGACAAGTGCAAACTTGCTTCCTCTTGGAAGTCTCTTGGCAGATATTTGTATCCGTGTAAATAAGGTGTATACAGTAATTGAGCTTTAATGGAGTGTGTGAGTATTGGAGCTGATCTCTGAGGCACTGACTTCTCTTTCTGTTTGGTATTTTACTACATTCAAGTCCAACAGTAGAATAAGATTTTGTCTAGCAACAACATGGCAAACAATCCTTAGTAAATTGTGAACTGTTTAGGAAGCTTTGACCAGACACTAGACATATAGAGAAACATAGATGGAGGACAGTGGTAGAAAATAAAAGAAATGACTGACTACTGCTGGCATTTGTCTATTACTAGGTTAGTTTACCATGGATGGTGACCATTACATATATCAGATGTCAAAGAAAAGTAATTCATTTTCTGGCATAGTAAATATTTTCCTTTCCGGTAAATATTTAGAAAATGTATAGCCTTGTTCAACTTTTTCTCTTGAACTTGTACTATTCATTTAAATGTTTTATTCCAGGCGATTTCAATGAAAAACTGTAACTTACTTAAACGTTATCTTATTCATAATCTAAGAGGCAAAGTATGTGATATCATATATTTGTAATGATTGATTAACGAGACTAAAGGAAATGGCATTTGTATTCATTAGGCAGAGAGGGCCAGGAAACTGTCAATGGACCCTGCGAGGACGAGAGCAAAGCACTGTGTTTTGCACAGACCTTTGCAACGGCTAGCCTGAAATACTCTCAGCTTCTAACCATAATTCCTCGTCTGTTCTCTCTTTTTCCCTTGCTCATGCTTCAGATAACATCCCATAGACTTGTGGGTATAAACTACCGTTCATGTGTGTTTTAGTTTTGGTAGAATTAGCAGGTGAAGCAGCCATTTGTTTTAGGTCATTAGCTCTCGGATGCCTGCATCGATTTAATCTTGGTTCAATTCTATTTTAGATGCAGTGAGTGTGGACTTATTAGATGAACAAAGGAAAGGTTATTTTAAAGACTAAATTAAAAAGGGGTTATTCTTGGGAAATTGAGTGAAGGGAAATATATTAGAGTGTTTATGTATGTTACCTTTTAGTGTCATTTATATGCTTCTCACAGACTACAGTTCACACAATCACTGTAGAAGCACATAGATGGGTTTCATAGAAACTGTAACAGAAGACTGTGTATCTCCTGCAAGACTAGAAGATTTCAGCATTACAATATTTTTCGAATTTGTCAACACGTGTCAGTGTCATTTGATAATGCTTGTGTGGTTGTATGTCCTATATGAAACAGCAGTAAGTAATAACGCTGACTGAGCCGCTTCACAGAGGAGGACCAGCTCTGACTGGACTTTATAAAGTCCATGCTGCACTCTTCTCTGATATACACCCTAGGTCACAACTATTTTTCAAAACTTTTGGACTTTTGAAGTCCATCAAAGACTCTTTGAAAGAGTTAAAACACTGAGGGTAAAACGAACCTACAAGAACAGTAGCCTGGCTTATAAAACAGAACATGGCTGTTAGGCTTGTGTATTCTAACCATAGAGTCTAACTCAAGTATGTGTGGTATTGTCCGGAGTTTTCTTTAATGGTGTGGGTATTTTATTGAAGCCCGTGTTTTTAATGGACTGTGTTTACAAATGAGACATTGAGCCGCACTTTAAAAGTATCTTTACAGAGGTTTGTGTTTTGGAAACTGTGATTACAGGAGATTTTGTTGGACACTCAGTACACATGTAGTGCTGTGGAGAATCTGTAAACTATGTTAAGCTCCATAATGAGTGCTTTGTTGGAGTTGCAAACAAAAGCAGTTTTTCTAAACAAAAGGACATTGATATTTAACTCACTGCAGGGTCATATTAAATGTTTTTGTCATGAACATTTTTTCTTTCTTTTAATTCCGCAGAAGTTGATCACCTCTGATTTCATTTGATATGTTTTCATGTTTAAATTAAAACATAACATTGTTACAGGAAGTTGTTGAAACTTAGAAGAAATGTATTTGGTTATTTAACATGAAGGACCATATATAAACGTTATGTTTTTCAATTAGATATCATTTGTTAAAATGTGAATTGTGTTAGATCAACTAATTATTGAAAATAAACTTTATGAAATACACAAATATAGTTGCTAAAATTATAAAAAAGTATTTGCTTTTACAATTTGGACAGCAATACTCTTATTTCCTCTCATTAACAAGTCATTTTACTCATTTTACTCAGTTTAGGCAAATCTAAAATATTTTACAAGCTGACTTTTTTCATTTTTGCTGAATTGATTTTATATAATTTTTCCAAATGTATTTTAGTGTTACATCTTCTCTATATTATTGAGTTTTCTCTAGTTACTTTAAAAAAACTTGTATTATGTTATGTTGGATCAACGATTTTTACAGTGTAAAAAAAAAATGTATTTATAGAGATCTTGGATAAAATCTCTTCTGTGCAATGCTGTCAGTCTAAAGAGGTTTAAGAGTGTGTGTGTGAGGGGGGGGGGTCTCTGGGGGCTATGTCTATGGGGAGAAGCAGAGCAGGAGAAGTTGGAGAGAGCAGCAGCCACACAGAACATGGACAGAGCGTTTACCTGGCCCTGTGCTCTGTGGGTACGCCAAGTAGCCGCCTCTTCCACGGGCCCCCCTACCTGAGCCACGCGCTGCTGCTACCGCCGCCGCCGCCACCGGTCCATACGCTGTCGCTGGGAAGCCTGCAGGCACATACACACATACACACACGCATCACTTCCTGCACATGGATGAGCACGTCCCAGAGCTACAGGAGAATGTTGATACCCGCGCTGAGCTACGGGCTAAAACTATAGCTGTCAGAGACTGGTGTCGGGGCAACATCTATCAGCAGCCTCTCACTGAACCTGCTGTGATATTCAAAGCCCCGCACACCCACTGATCCACACGCAGAATAAGAGAGATAGCCATGAGCAACTCACCGGATATCACATTAAAATACTTTGTGCAGCTTCAATGTACTTGTCATGATCATCACTTTAAATTCATATCCTCTCAATTTCCCCTCTCGTAGAACATTTCTGTCCGACTGAAAAAAGGTGCACATTCTTATTCATCTATGAAACTGTGAGCAAACTGACAATTCACTAAGTCCCTGGTTATATTAGTGAGAGTATTTGGCTCTGGGGGGTGTTTATGTCACATGCTTTGGATGAAAGATTACAGCCACTTCTGAGCTGGGCATAATAGCCCGACCTCTGGGGACCGTCCTGCATTTTGTTCAGGAGTGCTCCCAATTACCCAGAGTTTCAATGGAATCAGAATCATCCACTCTTGTCTGAGAATAAAAGTATTCCCATGCTTTTTTTGCTGTGGGGCTATACAGGTAGAAGATATGCAGTAGAAAAGAATACTTTTCACAATCAAGCCGAGACTTCTGTTGTATGATATGTCAATCAATCTGTTACGTTCTACTCTTCTGTTAAGGCTGAACACTAAACCATTTAGAGAACTCCAATCCTTCGATATTGAAAACTTTAAAAGCAGACATAATATGCTCATTTTCAGCTTCATGCACGTATTTTGGGTTTATAATAAAGCATGTTAAAGTTGAAAAATCACGTAATATTTCTAATACTGTCTGTCTGAATGTACCTGCATTCACACTGTCTAAGACGCTCTGTTTTAGCGCTCTTTAAGACTCCTCTCCAAAACAAGCAATGTCTTACCTTTGTGCTTTGGATGTCTTTGCAACAGCATTGCATAAAGAGAATGACTGTAACTAAATAGTAGCCAGACATTGACCTTTATACATATGTATAGTTGTTACATCATAACCGTGAGGAAGTCCAATCTTACGACTTATTTAAAGGCACAGTTTCTGAATACGATCTGTGTGCTTTTCACTTGTTGAGATTGAGCTTTTTGATACTTTCGTAATATTTTAGTAGTATTTTTTTCAAGATTGTACCTTTAAAAGCATTCAAAAGGTTGCTCCGAACTGTCAGTTTGTGAAAAGGCAATATTACCATGCAAATATGAATTCACCTCTTTAGGGTCTGATTATTCCCACAAATATCAGCCTAATAATCAGTCTGTAATTAAGCCACCGCAGTATCTGTGAATTCTAATTACATTGTTGGCCTTAATGAACACGGTAGCTAGAGGTGTCTGGCAGAGGCTGGTCCATGCCCAGGGCCCGGCTCCTCTCACAGCTCAGGAATGGCATGTCATTAGCGCTGGTGATGAGATTCCTCACTCTGGGCTCAACACCGTCTATGCCTAATCAGCTTCCTAAAATTATCTCCACAGGAAACACTTTCCTCACTGGCAAAAAGAAATATGGTCTCTAAATTCCCTCAATTGTAGCCTTTCTTGATTTCTTCCTTCTAGCTGTACAGTATGTGTGCTCATGTGTGAGTTTCTTCTATGTTTTGGCCCTATTCTGGAGACTGTGGTTGAGACATTACAAAATGGCACAGGACACCTTAGAGGATTATTTTTTTGAATGCTGTGGAGGTGAGAGGAGCACCAGCGGGTGACCTATTTTCTGAGTCAGCCTCATACTGCTGTTCCACCGTGAGGGGCTCACACAAAAGACTGATGAGAGGGAGGGGGAGGGGGAGGAGGTGACAGGGCAGGGTCAGATGAGCCGCAGCCAAAGAGAAAAACACATAGCTTTTCATCAGCCGGCTGAGAAGGAGGTAATTCACAACTCTGTCCACACAATACGACTGTGAATGTGTGTGTTGGGTGTGAGGTGCCAGCATGTTGCGGCAGGTGAAAAAGAGAAAGAAATGGCACTTTTCCCACCCAACTATCTCACAGCCCGGAGAGAAAAAAGGGGGCAGAGGCGACAGGGGGAAAAGAATACAAAAAAGACGGCAACTAAAAGGACCCGATTCCTAGGGCTCAAATGATTTTCTCCGCCTCTTTTCACAAAAACACAAATCAACTCTGATACTATGCTAATGATGGCCATGCACCCCTTCATTTTCACTTACAGTGTCCCCATGGCTGCTGTGCGGAACAGCACTCCCCACCCCTTTTTCCCCCACTCTCTCTCTCTCTCTTCCCCTTTCCTAAGTGCTGAATCTATCTTCCCGTCGCTGCCATTGTCATGACACCCCCAATAGACCCACTGGCTTGGAAGTTAGTTGCGGGCAAAGTTGTGGTGAGAGATTAACTTTGCAGGATTAGGTGGGTTAATTAATAGATGGCTGCTGCTCATTGTTTTGTGCTCACGCTGTAAGAAGCCACCCAAGAGAAGCGCTGCAGCATTAAATCAATTTCATGGCCCTTTTATTACTGAGGAGATAAAGCCAATATTTAGCTTTCAATTCTTCACAATTATTGGGCCCCTGCTTTGCCACTTGAGTGGCTGCGCTTGGCTGGGGACAAGGACACATCTGTTTATGAGCTGTGGAGGCCCGGGGGCCTTGGTGTCCGGACTCAGGGGAACTGTCCTCAGCTTTCTTGCCTAAAGCCTGTAGCACAGAAATCCTGCCTTCCTCAGGAGGGCACACTGAAAGGAAGTAATATTAGACCCAGAGAATGATGAGGACTGTCAAGAAGCTCAAAGCTGTTTCACTCTTTCTCTGTCACTGTAAAGACTGAAACGTTTACTTTAATTAAATGCATTAGAAATGTCACATAACTGTATTAGGTTAGTTCTAGGTATTATTAAGTTGAATCTAATATTTTTTATTTAAACATATTATTGCTTTCCATTAACCTAATACAGTTATGTGAAATCAGTTTACATTATACATTCAATTTAAGTCAACATTTCAGTTTTTCAGTTTAAGCAAATATATTAAACTTTCTCAACTAAGTTTTAGATTACAATTTTTTTCCGATTTTGGGTATTTCTCCCCAAAAACATCAGACATACGTGCTTAAGACTTTTGCATTCAATTGTTTACATGTATTCCTATTCATCCAACTCCACTGTTTGCAAACATTGACCAAGATTCAGAAACTGTTACAAATGTTACGCCATATGAGTCCAAATCCTTGCCTACCTATAATAAACGTTGCTAAGGCAACTTGCCAACATAGTGGTACGTTCAATTCATAGTATTGTCAGGTCTGTGCTGAGGGAACACAATGTGCATTTGGGGCACACAAAGCACTATTTTCATGACAGTGCAAAACACATGTCGGCACTTTATGCCTGTAAAGTAGCATTTTTCTTGAGAGCATACCGGCTCTTTTCCACCTGCACCTGTACTTTGTGAGTCTCTGTGAACTTGACTGTGCTGAAGTAGGAGGAGAGACGCAGTAGGGGCACTGTCACAGTGATCAAACTGCGCAGTGCAATTTTTGTGTCAAGGTTTCCTGAGATATTTGCTTGCAGCGACTGCCTGCATAGGCCAGGTCAAGAGCTTTGTTTTCCCTATTATAAAACTGTCAAAGCACTTTGCAGAATATCATACTGCTTTTAAAGTAGCTCTTATTGGTCGGATTAATTCTAGTGCCCCATCATGACCAAGGATGATGTATTCTTCCACATGTCAACATGTTCTCAAGCTGCTCTGCGGTTGCATTGCATGCTGTCAACATCAGCATTACCTAATGTAAATCACCAAGCCTTGAAATATCCATGCTGAGCGCCACATTGCCTTTATCTGTACAGTTTAAGTTACTCATCAGAGTGTGTGCACTTTTTCTAGCATAGATGTTTAACCCTGCAAGGCTAATTTTCTTTTATGATATTACAGGCGTACAAATGTAATATTATAAGGGTCTTATTAAATGATTAAAAACATATTTCTTAGACATTTTATGGGGGTTAAACTTTACCTCAGATTTTTACTGATACATTCCTGCAAATCTTTTTTGACATACTGCCTTTATAGCCACTTTCAGATCCTATTACTCAGAAAACGTCTCGATGAAAAGTTGTTGCATTATGCATCAATAAGGTCCTATTTATGTCCCAGCAGTCTGACAACAGCTTGACTGATGTTAATGTAATCTGTTCTGTTCTTTGGCCCAAAACTGCCAGCAGCAGCTCCCCCGTCATTGACAAAGGAGCTCCATCAGACACAGAGCCCTCGCTCATTTCTGCTAAAAGAAGAACTGTCAACTCTCTAATGCACAGGAGGGGCCCAGGGATAGCTGATAATCTACAGAGGGTCTATGAAGGGCCGGCCTCTGCCCACATTTTAATATCTTTCTGAAACTCAAAAGTAATAGGACTTACATGAAGCACTTAATTTTCAGTGGACATCTCAAGTGGTATAACGTAAGAGGACATTACACACAATGTTTGGAAAGTGGGAATAATGTGTACCATGAAATGTTTTGTTAAGCAACTTTTTTGCCTAACTGTATGCACAAAAAAAAAGAAAGACATTCCCATCATACAAATGGAACCCAGCATTGCAGTGCAGTTATCCAGGATTATCCTGCTGGCTCCACAAGTTTCCATTAGGGATACACAATGATATCGGCACATTATCAGTTGCAGCAGATAAACGCTTGAAGAAAGGAAAGAAAATCGGCATCAAAAATGTCCAACATATTTTTTACAATATAACAGTATATTATGTAATATACAAATACATATCGCATGTTATAGGTTACCGAAGTTGAGATTTGTTCTTATTTTGCCCAGTGAATGTGTACATTTTGAATAACATTGTCTGCATCAGAATAACTTTTATAATAAGATGTCAACCCAACAACAGGATGAGATTGTTCTTAGCGTGTATTATCAGGCTAACATTCAGATGTTGGTATACATCTAATATTGGGTGTCCCTAGTTTTAATTCTATGCTTGAAGCTTGGTTTGGGAACATGCTAGTGAAGAGGCTTTTGAGCCTGAAGCTGGTGGGTTTCAGGGGCAGACAGGAGGAGTGAGACAGATGAACAGTAAAGAGCAGAGATGAGTGAGACTGATGAACAGAGAAGGACAGCAGCTACATCAGTAGAAGAAGAAGAAAAAGAGAATGAGAAATTATGGGAGGAATAAGGTCAGAACGCAGGTGTTTCTTTCATTCTCATGGAACTCTGTAAGGTATTTTGGACACAAATATCTTAAGAAAGGAGAATATCTTATACTCAGATAAAACCCCTTCTGCTGAGGGCACTTAATCAATGCGTGTCATATAGAGCTTCTAACATGGAAAAATATATTTTGTGAAATCTAAGGTCCAAAAAATGACTACAATAAAACAGTTGCAATAACTATTGGTTTCACCAACAGTAACAATATGCAATAGTCGCTGCTAATACAAAGCTAACTATTCATTTAAGAATTACCCATCTTATTCAATTATTGATAAGTTTTTTTTTAAATATGTTTTTGAAATAGCAGGTGGAATTACACTAAAAGTACAGTATTGATGGATCATGGTTTGGCAATCCAAGGCCTTATATGTAATTTGTTATACATTTGTCAGTGAAAATAAGTACAAATGTAACTTAACAGTACAAAAGCTGTGGGTATAGATATTTTAATTGCTAACTCTAATTTAAATGCCATAAACAAAATGTATTGATGGGTCTCGATAATTAATACTAATCTCATTGGAAACACATACATGGAAACCAAACAAAGGATGGATTAAAAACACTGCCTTAAAAAAGTCTACTAACTAATCATTGCAGGATTTTGTCTATTTTGCCTTGTAAAAATGTAGACAAATCCAATATATAGGTGTCACTGTTTTATGTCATAAATGCGAGAAAGATACACAAGAAATCATACCGGAGAGGCATGCTTTTCCTGTCACTGTATGACAGTAAGAGGGACAAGCCAGCGGAAATAAGTGTGTAGATAAGTCGTACGCAGTCAGCGGAGCACACTGCCTCTCAGGAGGGGGGGGGGCGTTCTGTCAGAGATGAAAAACTGACTCCACTTCACATTTTGCTTCATCAATAACCTTTGATAAGATGTAGCGAAACACATAGAGACAAATAAGCAAAACGGGAAAAAAATAAATATACAGTATATATCAAAGTTACAAAAGAGAACGGCACCTAGCAAGACATCTTTTCATCTCCAGACTGACAAGTGTCCCATTGTTGTCATCCTTCAGCGCTACTTTGTTGTTGAAAGCATCTCTTGGTTGTTGTTATCAAAGGCATAAATCACAGAGCTGCAGAGAGCCAGGTGGCTTTCAAATGAACTGCTGCACACATGCTCATGTCTCACCTCTCCTCTGATCAACGGAGACCTTCGGTACACACAGAGAACCCCCCCCCCCACACACACAGATAAAATAGAGGGACTGGGAATCAGCCAGAGAGAGAGAAAGAGCATTTACATGCACACCAATAATTAAATTATAACCACACTAATGCAATACGCATATTATTGCAGCTCTCATGTAAACACCTTAACCGGGTTATCTTACTCGCATTAAAGTCCTAATCAGAGTAAGCATAACTTGATTAACAGAGCTGGGTTGCTTGTCAATCATTCAGATTCATTTGGTGTGTGACTGGTTTCTTCCAGTGGTTGGAGTCTGTGCATGTGGCACAGAGGTCACACGCTGTATGGGACTGTATGTTTGAAACAGAAGGTGAGGGAAGTACAAATAAATAAAGATCTTAACTTGCAATGGGTACCAGGTAGTTTTATCTATTTGGTTTCCACTGAGGGTTAGTACCTCTTTATTGTAGAAGGGATTGTCAGTTGATTGCAATAGCAACACCTTTTATCTGCAACCATTCAGGAAAATGTCTTCACTTTGTCAACTTAAAGCAAATGAACGATGTATCTTTGTGATTTGCCATTTTTTCCTCAAAATGTGGTTGCTAATATTGACATTAGCTCAGAGGGTTTGTGGAGGATGTGGTGCTTATAACATATTTCTCCACCCAGGTGGGCTGGAAGTCAGAACCATAGAAAAAGGTTTTATATATTATTTCTATATAATTTCCAACCCGATATAGTGTAGGGCTAGTTTATTTTTCTTTCTACTATTTCGCTGTTTTTAATCTTTCTACTAAATTGAAGTTAAAATAAGAAAAATACTTTTCTTAAGTCAAGTATTTGATTCACACAGAAAAGCCACAAATACGTGAGGCTTTCATAAAGGCTATTCTTTTGTTGTTACAAAAAATAAGCTATATTTCCAAAAGTATATTGAGATATGAAATGACCTTTAACACGATCTGAGAGAAACAGATATCATGTAAATAAAGTTGCATAATGGGAATTGTAGGATCTTGTGTTTTTGGAGCTTAACACATATTACAAGAGTAAATGTCTCATTGTCCACCTACTATATTTTTACCAATTAAAAAAAATAGATATTATTGTGTGAGTACCCAAACTAAATGGAAGTGCAAAACTAAATTGCTGGAGTGCGACCTAAATCTGGATATAAGAAATTGAAAATATCCCATAAATAATCAACTTTTTGTTAAAGTGATTTTAGCGATGGAGTTACATGCCATTAAAGGAATATAAATACAGCAGCTTTGGAATAAAAGACTGCTGTACAATACTGAGGTCCCCACAGATACAGCTTCACCTCAATAGGATTTTGCCGTATCAAAAGATCCTGATTAAAGGATCTCTAAATGAACAGTTTTTCCATGACAGCTGAATGCAGGGCATGATGTATCTCTTCATACTTAAAGCCAGGCTATGGTTTACCATTGGAGAGGTTTCACCTGGACATATACCTGTGGTAGGTGTGTATGTGGTACACTAATAATGTTGTTAGTGCTCTAAAATACATACAACAACAACCACAACAACAAGACCCCTAACCTTTATTGTAGATGGTCGATGTTGTGTTGCTCACTTACATTATATGAATTAATTAATTAAAACTTTATTGCAGACTCAGGGTCCAGATAAAAGACAAGACATTACATATAATAAATTACATACACAGCATAAAAAAAATTCATAGTTTAAGAATAATTTAAATCAGTGTCCTACAAAGAGACAACTATACCAATGTCTCCACAGCTGTGATTGGTAGCGTGTAGTACTAAACCTTATGTTCGATAAGGCCAAGAGGATTTCATTATCAGAGTCATTAAGCCGGCAAATACATTTATACATGATATTTCTTAAAACAGCTTGTAGAGTATTGACTCCTGCAGCCACAAACATTTCACTTGCACTAGACCATCGAGGTCTCTTCAGCAATATTCTCATGGCATCATTATAAGCTACTTGAAGTTTCCGTTAACTTGCTTTTCTGTAGTTTGACCACAAATGTGCAGTATAGAGTGGTGTACAATATGCTCTGAACAGAGACATCTTCACTCCATCTGTACATGCACCAAACTTACGTAGGAGAATTTTTGCTTGTGCATACATTATGCGGCATTGTCTATAAATATCTTCATCATCTGTTCATATGATCACACCTGACTTCCTTATTGTATGTTCACATATATGTGCAGGCAGTGTGTAGTTTCTTTGTGTGTCTTTTGCCTAAGCGGTAGTTCTTTGTGCCAGAGGTAATGGTTTCTGTATGTAATGAAACCAATTGGCACATTGATCCTTTGCCATTAAGACTTTGTGGCCTCTGATTTTGAGCAGAGAAAAAGTCAATTACAGAAGTGGAGTGAGCGCAGAGCTCAGCAAAGCCCGTCTTTATGGTGGTAATTGCACATATATCTTATACTTCTGAACAACAAGAAGAGGCCAGGAAGAAGATATTTTTGGTCAAATTTAAACTGGGTAACCTTTCAGAAGCACAAAGAATGCAAACGCTTCATGCTGTGGGAGAGCTGCACTGTCTTTCACTAGACACCAGTATGTCCTACAGTGAGTCTGACACAACAAGTCACATCGGCTTATTGTAAAGCCAACATACTGTACCTGGTTAACTTACAAGGGGATGGTGAGTGAAGGTCAGAGGAGAGGTTGAGTGATGTGCTAAAGGACACTTCAGAGAGGCGGGTTCTCACTATGCTGCTGTCTGAACTGGTATAGTGAATTGTCTTACCAGTATCTATATTATGTTTTGTATACTGGCTCATAAACAACTTTAGCTCTAACTGAATCAATTGTCATTAAGAATTTGTTTAAACCTTCTATGACTCCCATGTCTATAATGCATTATAAACTGTATTGCATTACAATCGGATTATAGCACTGTATAATTCTTCATCACACAATTAAGCATGTTATACTGACTTATAGTAACAAGTATAACAATAATACTTCAGAATCTTATAATGACAGGATAACATTGATTATAATGCATTATAACAATATTACAATGCATTATAACGATTAGAAATAAAAGTCAATAGGATACTTGGAAAAAAAACATCGATAAGTGACCTTATAATAGGAAGTATTATGAATCCTTAAAATGATCATAACATTTTGTATATAGTCTTAAGTTTGTTTAAAAGCATTACGAAGATGTAGGAATGCGGATTCATACATGTGAAAAAAGTGTGTGCGCTTATTTAACAATGTGTATTAATTGTAGGCTAAATATAATACAAAATAAGCATGTTTTATAAAAATGCACAAGTTCTATTACAACGTTGCTTACTAAACACTCAACTTGAGAGTAACTCTAGCCTCCGAAACGGCACAGTCAGCAGCCATCACCCGGCTGTATACGGAGTGAGGGACTGGGATGTTGTGATGTGTTGTTGAGAGCTCAGGAAAAGCTCAGTGTCTTTTACTTCAATTCTCAGTGACAAGAGCTTGGCTTCTTTGTAGCTGAAGTGCATGGCAGCATAGCATCAAAGAGGACAAACTAGGCTCTTTATTGAAGTGCAGCCGCACTTTCGACCTCTTCTTTGTACGTCTTCCCATGCACTTCAGTCAAAAAAGGGAATGGCTCCTATGCTGCAGAACTGATTTAAACACAGTCTGCTTCCACTCAAGCCTCGGTTTATATCTCACACACAAACACAGTAGTCAAAGGAAAATGAATAGAGAGAAAAACAATAAGGCAAAGGGAGAAAATGTATTTCAAACAGAAAGGGAGGATCTGCCAGAATAGATAAGAAAACATTATTTGAGTCCATTCTGAAAACAGGGAAACTGCTTTGCAAATGGGACAGGGTCTTGGTTCACAACCCAAATACTCAAGGCAGTTCATGATGGTGACTTAAATAGAGAGAGGCAGACAGGAGGACACAGATGTCTGACCTTGCAGTGGTGCTTATGTAATGGTCTGCTTCAGTGCATTTAACTGCAGTGCTCCTTTCCAACCTGGGATCAGTAAAGGCAACATGTCTCTGCAGTCCAATCTCCTCTGACATCACTCCTGACACTCGGAGAGTATAAAAAGGTCTTGCGAGCTCTGAGTGAATCTCTTGTTATGGTCCTGCCTGTGTGGTCCCTGAGGAGCCAATCATACTAATTACACTAGACTACTTTAGCCTCCTCTCATTAGTGTCCGAGTAAACAGCCTTCATTTTTGATGCATTTTAATGCCCAACTCCCAGATCTGAGGGTGGCGGTGGCGGGGACAGATGAAGGATGAAGGGGGGTAATTTCAGGTTTTCTTAAATGAAAGTGAGTGCATTAAGTGTCATTTCACCATTCAAGTTAAATATGTGTTTGTGGATTTGCACTGATCACTGTGAACTTGCTTTTGCTGGATTTACTAATGCTGAGGGATAATAAAATACAGTGTATTAATGTTGGTAATAAGAAGAAGCAGCTTTACAGACACTATCTCATGAATATGATTTTATAGCCCAGTCAAATACTTGCAGACTCCATTATATTTCAGCAGGCTGTGTGCACTACGGTTACACAATCTAACACTGCTCTAGATAGCAGGGGCAAGTAGGGTAACATGTGTTATGACCCAAAAATAGCACTGAGACTTTGGCTTCCTCTACTGGAGCTATAAACAATGTTTCCACATGAAGTGGGAGTATGCAGATGGAATTATTAATATATTTTTTTAATGTTCATATATGTATGTATCTGTTATATAATGTAGATATACATGTGTATATATATATATATATATATTCATAATAAAATGTTTCTGATACTCTGAAAAATATTAATATTTTCCAGAGCATCAGTAGCTTATTATAGTACATTATAGACGGCCATGTCAACAAATAATTATTAGGTCAAGGCACTGTATAATTAGAGTTATACGCACTCTACATATTCATAATGCTTTAATTATCAAAAACAATAATAAAAACACGTACAAATAATGTATAGTTTCCTATAAAGTATATTGAATACTAATTTGGTTACCTGTAGGATTGCTTTGTGTACAAAATGACTTCAATTGACATTTTAATGCATTATAACAGAGAATATTGTGTTATTTTAACAGTGCGAATGAAAATACACCATGGGACAGAGGGAAGGGGCTGAGTAGATACCTAGCAACTACCCAAGAAGCCGGGCCTGGAGCCCTGAGCAGTGGGCGGGATGAAAACAACAGGCAGTAGACACTGAGCATGTTCTCACAGACAACATACAGACACACACACACACACATATTGTGCTCCTCTGCAGAGTAGAGGAGCACAATGTCTGCACCCCGTCCCCCTGCTGCTCTCCTGCAGTGTCCGGAGGTGGCAGCCGTGCACGAGGCAAGGCAGTTCCAGTTTCATTTTACACCGGCAGCTCAACAGTCCAGACGTAATGAGCTTTAGCGTTGCCACTCTGCTTTTTACAGCAGCTCATCTTCCCCACCACAGGCACCTTGGCAGTGGGTCTCCGTGGCAGACTGTTTGTCTGATTCAGTGTGTGAGGATGTGTCTGCTGTACTGGGGGGAGTTAAGACCTGGGCAAATGAGGTGAGCCTTGCTTCCCACCTTCAGGAAATAGCCAGCCTTTCAGCTTTGCCTGAGTCAGAGTGCAGAAGCTGTTTTTGCAGAGACAGGTGCTCATGGAGGCACCCGAGGAGGTGCACGTGTTTGTGCACGTGGACGTACTGGTGTGCATGCAGACAGACAAGTGCAAACTGCACCCACACAGAGTAAACAAACATTGCCACAGACATAAATAAACATAACCACATGTCCGATAGAGCTCTGATGAGCATGTGCGTTGACCTGTTGCATCCATCCTCTGCCTCAGGAACACACATATTGTACAATGGTAGCCTCTAAGGCAGGGGTTCCCAAACTTTTCAGGCCGCGACCCTCAAAATAACAGTGACAGAGACTGGCGACCCCCTTTCGACGGGGGGGGGGGGCTGGGGCTAGTGAATTAATTTCAGTTTTCGCACTCTCGCGGGAGTTATACAGATGGCTAGTCCGCCCCTGAAAATGTCTAGGCAAACGTTATTATTAAAAATAATTTTTTTAAAAAAATTATAAAAAAAATTAATCAATTTTTTGTTATAATTTTTTATTTTTTTATTTGCCATTTTTATTTTGTAATCATCTCGCGACCCCCACTTTGGGAACCCCTGCTCTAAGGCACAAACACACATACACCATATTGTGAGCCGTTAATGGAGAGCAAACTGATCTGAGAGCAGTGGAGCTCTATGGGTGCACATGCAGAAGTAGACAGGGCGCTGACGTCAGAGCAGCACACTCACTACTGTCACAGGAGCGGAGTCATGGCCCGGGAGCTCAGAGGCTGCATGGGCAAATGTGTGCGAGTGTGTGCAGTCAGCACTGCTGTGGAGACACTGAGTCAGACAGACAGACTGGAAGGCAGAGAGCGGCTCTTGGTAATGTCCCTCCTCCTGCTTGGCCTTCAAATTAAGAATCTTTGATTGTGTGTGTTTTTAAGTTTTAGAGAGAAAGGTCCGCAGCTGCTGGAGCGTGTGAGGTCATGGCGCTCCTCGTCAGGCCCTATTTTAAGGCCCGCAACTCACGCAGGGCCCCGGCCTCCACAGGGCCATTGGGCTAATGATCAGCCTTGGCAATTAAAGTCAGTCTGTGAGTCAGTGTGGCATCAGGAGGGCCATCTGCTCCCAGCCCTCTAGCACTCTCTCTGGCCTGTGGGACCACTTGCTGGGGTCACAGCTCACCCAGCGTGGAAAGAAGATGGTCACATGATCTGAGGAACAATCTGCTGTGTAACTCTAGCTCAATAGAAACCTGTTCTCGCGTTAGCACTGCTGTCTCACGAGTGCAGTAAAAACACAAACAGTGGGATCTGTCTTATGGAGGACATTGTTGCATGCACCCGTGACACAGGTAAGCTCCTCATCAGCCTCAGGCCAGTGATTCTTTTCCCCACCTGCTCCGGTACTGGAGCCAAGAAGCAGGGTACTTATTGTACTGAATGGGAAATATAAGATGTCTGAATACTTGAGAGAGCTTCAGATCAGCTGATAATGACTGCACATGGAGTCCCAGACTACATCCTCATCCACATAGGAAGTAATGGACTATAGCCAGCAAGAGTTTTATTGGACACAAAGTGTTGAAAAGGAGTTTTAGAGGTAAGAGGGATACTCGGGTCAACACGTGAGGCAGTACTGGAGCAATGCCAGTATGCTCATCTGCATCTAGAGTCAACAGAGCAGAATGAATGCAGGAGAGTTCTTGAAATAAAGCTGAATGTAAACACATTTTTAGTTTGTCTACGTTGTGATGAAGTATAACAGAAAATACTTCTGAGCCTGAGGGCCTCTCTGAAAAGGAGCCACAGAAGTTTGCACCCTAGAAAAAAGGTTTGCTAGTTCTTTCTCAAGTGGTCTTTGGCTCAGTGGCACATCACCACACTGCCATCATACCTTCTCGTCCTTGACCCCCACATGACCTTGCAGAAGCCTCGTTTCTGGATATAGTCCACAACAATACCTCTTAACCAAGCAGCAGACGGCTACTGGACCCTGGGGAGGCCAACTGGTGGTTCAGGGCTATGCCCGGGTGTGACCTCTGGTGAATTTATCATATGTTCAGTCGGCTCTGCCCCCGTTTATAGGGGCATGCCCCCCCCCAGGAGCAGTCACTCTCACACCAGTTGCACAGGTCAGCAGCTCCTTTACCCTAAAACCCACCTCCTGAGAGGACAGCTGCTCCCTATAGCTTTATGTTCTTCTCCATCAGAGAAAAGGGGGTCAGCAGGTCAGCAGCCTTCATCTTCAACTCTGTCTACCCATAAGCCCCCCCCCCCCTCTCAATCAACTTCCTCTTGACTGCCTTTTTTTGTTCATCTTATATTACTATATTTACTTGTTTGCCTGTCCTTGTTTGTCTACCCTCCCTCATACTGTAAAGCGTCTTTGAGTTTTGAAAAGCGCTATATAAATAAAATGTATTATTATTATTATCTTTTTACTCCGTCACTAACAGTTGTATGGACCACAGGCACCTTTTATAGGTGTAGCTCCATGCCATGCAACCTCCATCACTCTGTGCCCTGTGTTTCAGGACGACTAACTGGTAAGGTCAAGTATCATAATACTTGGAGATTGCTTACTAACATTTTATGATTATTATTAGAACTGTATTAAAAGCAAACTATTGACATTATAATGCATTTTGACAGTGATTTAGAATGTAGAAAGTGTTAACCAAATCCTCATCTTGTTATTTTTTGTTATAAAAGACAGCTCTCAGTTATTTTATCTCTCTGTCATTCTCTATTAACTTCTTCTGGAAACTATTTCTGCAGCTTAATGTTTTCAAATGTAATTTGTTGTGATATTGTCCAGGTTTCTATCTGACACTGAGTTTGTTTGTGAGTTGTATTTATCTTATAGAAACTGTACATTATCTAATTTCCTTTTAATTGTACATGAATATACCTTGTTTATTTCAGCACTATCCCTTAAGCTGGTAGTGGTTAAGTATCTTGAAGTAGGACGACTCAACAAAGACAGACATGTGGGCGTTTATGGCAGCACAACCCCTCGTCTCTTACTGCATGGGACTTTGCCAAACAGGTCACCCCGAGTGTTCACAGTGAGAGATATCTACTCCACACTGATTTAGGCGTTTCAGAAGGCATTTCCTGTCACTTGGATATGATGTAGTGTGCTGTTGTGTTTAAGGCATGGTTGGTTAATGGAGTTGGAGATACAGAGGCCTGGAGGCTACCGCAGCACTGTCCAACACTCTATATCTGACGGGGAAACAAATCTGACACAGACATGTGACAAGAAGAGGATATGGCAAATGGACAAGAAAAGAAACACAGATGGAAAAACCAAGCCACAAACTCCAACAAACAAACACCCTTTTCAGAATGTGTTATGAGAAGATGCTAAATATATACAGCATAGAAGGGCTGTCAACGCATTAACGCTTGTGATTCATCTGGAAACTTTAACGGTTTAAATTGCCTAAATGCAAATTAATCATATTAAAAAGTTTGACCCCAACTTCCTCCCCTAATTCCAGCGCAGATGTTTACAATGGCAGTAATAAGGCAAAGGAAGTGCAGGAAGTAGCACAAGCTATATGTATTGCCCTGACCTCTGCATATCAGTAAGAACCATCACTACTCCAGAGTACAACACCTAATCCATGACGGATGGTTTGCTTTAAATGGGGTGAAAACGGAGGAAAGGCATTTTGCGGAACTGTATGCTTATTGGTTCTTGAGAATGCACAGGAGTATGAGATAGCCGAAAAGCTAACCACGGCAGGAAGAGATACTGCTTGCAGCAGGATAGTGCTAGCAAGAATATTAGTATACGAGCATATGTCCTGTGTAGGCCACATGTACAGAGGAGGATCACAGCAGCTCTCTGCTACAGCAGCTTTGTTGATGCTTGAGCTACGCGTTGGAAAATTTAAGGACTTCATGAGCTCTGTGCCTTCATAACTTAATCATTGAGTCTCACACACTTGTCTATTATTACAATAAACAGTATTTAATTTAACTTTTACAGCATTATATTTTACATTCTATCTTTAGCTCATCTTATTCTATTTTACATGTATATATGTAACTTCTCCTTCATGACTTGCACATTAGTCTTGCAACATTCTCTTGCACTATTTGATTTCTACACTCACTTTTTGTGACTATGTTTTCTTGCTTTATGTTTTATATATATTTATGTTGCATTGTTGGTGGAGCCGGGGACTTTGTTCATTGTATAACTACACTGTAGCTGTGCTTATGACAATAAAGCCTGAGAACTTTGATTTTTTAAATTGACTTAACCAAAAATATACAGATGTTTTAAAAAGGGTAGTGTTAAGGTAACCCCTTCTGTTGTCATTGCTACACTTACCTCTGCCCTCTCCCCTCCTTAATGTCCCTTCCTCTCCGTTCTCTTACTACTTAAGAGGCTGACTCATTGCTGTTTCTCATGACATCTGGTGTAGCCGTATGACTGAGTGTTATGTCTTTCTCTCACTCAGTCTGTGTCTCTCCCCTGATGGGACCCCACTGACATCTTCATCTCTGGTTTTTCCAGTGTAGCATAATGACCTCCTACTAGCAGCCCTAATGGAGCCATAATGGTCATTCATGCCAGGGGAGGCTCCGAGGGCACGGCTGTGGAGGCAGAGGGGCGCTCGGGTGAAGTCCCTCTGCTTCTTCACGCACATCTCAGTCTTTGTATAAATACAGTTGTCTGTGTGTGCGTTCTACTGAGCATTCACGAGTGTGTTATGAAATAAATGAAGGTATAACTGGCTAACAATAGAAAGCACAATATGTGTGTAACACGAGTGTTTCCCTGCTTTTTAATGTTCACTTCTACAGCTCATTCGCATGCATAATGCACTTATTTTCTTTTTAATTACATTTCCCCTCATACAGATGAGCTCCCTATTCATGCATACATCATACACACAATGGAGTTCCACCACTGGCAGAGACTATACTGTACATAAATTACAGTGTGGAAGCTTAACTTGCACTTATTGCTATTTTCTTTCTAGCCATTTGCATTTTAATATGTGCAGTAAACACAAGGAGCTTTCTGAGTAAAGCCTTAAAAGACACTTTAAGGCTGTGATGGAATAAGATGCTTCTTTAAATGTGGCTTAATAATGCAAGGTCCTCCAGAGTGGACATCCCTCAAGCTTTAAATGCGGCACATCTTAAGATGTTCCTCCGAGGCCATTTGAATAATACAAAGGCACATTTCTCAGCCAGCTAATGCTAATTAGACTGTTGCATAGAAACAGGAATAATGTACAGTAAGGTTCCCTATGACTTGTCAGATCCTGTTTTTTCCGCTTCTAGCAACATTCACAGCTGTGTATTGAGTTGATTTAGGAAAAAAAAACATCCTACAGTATCTAATCTATTATGTTTAAACATAAAACCAAGGGAAGAAAAAGAAAGATTATTGTAATCAGCTCAGTTAACCATTATGCATTTTTATTAAAAAAATGCCATGAGTGTAGCTTCTCTCACAAAGTGGAACAATTATGATAAATAAAATTTAAGAGAATATGTAAAAGTAAAAGCAGATACAGATACACTCCTAATACTACAGCATGAGGGGAGGATATTCATTTCAACACGACTTTCCTTCATTTGAAGCTATCTGAAAATCAGTGCCGTCCAACAGATTTTTACCTGCAGTATCTAAGGAAATGTGCACTCTTTAATCTCTGTCAGAAATCAAAAATAAGTCCTTTTGATTGACCTGATTTTGATTCAAAGACACATTGAATTTGAGTTTGTTCTTTGTAACCTGACAAATGTTAGCTATGACGTCTGATCATTTAAGTCAAGTTCTATAATGCTGACGTCCTGCATCCAGGATGAGCAGAGCAGTGTACGATACTGTTCAACATGACTTCCATCTTTTTTGATGTGGACATTGTGTTGTATTTTTTTGTTGAAAAAAAGCAACTGTCAGTTTAACAAAATATTAACAACAAGCCCACAGCTGTTTGTTTATGCGCATGCTTCTGTCTTTGCTAATTCAAATTATTTTCCATACTGCAGTGTCTTGTATCACACACTGGTCTAGATATTTAACCTGCTTATGCAGATCTCTCTCAGGGCGTCTGATTAGAATCTCTCAGATCGCTTCTTTGAAAATTAACACATAGCTATCGGGAGTGAGCGATGATTTGCCTCTGACCATTATTATTTTTAAATATTGAAGTTAAAAGCATCAATCTGGTGCACTTTGAGAACAAAATGAAGAGATCTATGGATACATCTCTCAACACCCATTTGAAACAGAACTGTAAGCAGATTTACTATTTCTTTATGGATATTTTACAAATCACTCCCCTTTTAAACGTTATTCTTTTATTCTTTTACTGTCATATATTATACACACATGCATTTCCAAACATTTGGACTACCTATGTTGCAAATGTATTATCTTTTCAATTTACACACGGCATCTATTGCACGTCTGTCCGTCCTGGGAGAGGGATCCCTCCTCTGTTGCTCTCCCTGAGGTTTCTCCCATGTTCCCCTTTAAACTGTGGGTTTTCTCCGGAAGTTTTTCCTTGTACGATGTGAGGGTCTGAGGACAGAGGGTGTCGTATTGTCATACTGATATTCTGTACAAACTGTGAAGTCCACTGAGACAAATGTAACATTTGTGATATTGGGCTATATAAATAAACATTGATTGATTGGTCTCAGTGGACTTCACAGTTTGTACAGAATATCAGTATGACAATACGACNAACACATTGTATGTCATATGCTAAGGGAAAGAGGTGGGAAGTAGTGGAGTACAAATACTGCGTTACTGTACTTAAGTAAGTGTTTCTGGTATCAGTACTTTACTCCACTACTTATTTTTCTGACGACTTTTTACTTTTACTTCTTACATTTTTAACACAAATACCTGTATTTTCTACTTCTTACATTTTCAAAACGGGCTCGTTACTTTAGTTTTAATCTGTGTTTGGTGGCGTGATCATTATTATTTAGAGTCATTGCGTGCCTATTGATTTGAACACGATCCGTGTATCCATCATTTCCTGATCTTCTCTAAAGAAGAAGGACCAATGAGAACTTTGTCATGTTGCCGTTGTTCAGCATGGAAACATTCATTAGCTAACAATTACATCATTGTTCTATTCATATAAAGTGAGGACAGGTACTCTTTAAAACATCTGCTAGTTATGGGTACTTTTTACTTAAGTGCATTTTGAAAGCCCATACTATCAATGATGATAATAAGCAATCAAATAATGCCCTTTTTTAAAGTCCACAGCAACACTCCCTAAGAGTTGTGTCTAAGCCTCTGGCACAGTTAAGAGTTCCCAGTTCAAACACTCACAAACAGTATTTCAAATAACTTGCTAAAAACATAAAGTCCAACTTTTTAAGAGTATATACACACTACTGTTCGGCTTTCTATTTTCCTCCCTACCCTGACTGAAAAGTCCCAGAGTGACACAAATCTCTGAAGATAAGCTATCAACTGCAGTGTGTCAGCGCAGCGGAGTAGCAGAAAACATCTCGATATATGTTGAAAGCACGCAGGTCGCGGTAACCATACCTTGTCAAGTCTATGGCAGGAATTCACTTCAACAGTCAGCTGTCTTACAAACTGTATACGTGTGTGGGTTTCTCTGTGTGTTTCAGGCTCTCAGGTCTCCTGGGTGCTTTTTCCAAACAACACAATATAACTTTTCTGACAGAGAAGGCAGGGCAGGTTAAAGTTGTGCCCTTTATCTTGACAAGCCACAATAGTTCTCAAACTGGGACATCTAAATGATGGATCATGATGCTTTTCACCAAACAATATTGTGCCTAGAAAAGCCACAATTCAGCACTATAGTTGCAATGTAAAGTGAATGTAATGTTTTCCTGCTGTTCATGTGGCAGAGGATTCAGCCTGTAAACATTTCTACATGAAGGAAATTGGAATGTGATGCGTTCACGTCGGCTGAACCTTTGCAGTGCTTGGCTGTCAGGCTCAGAATGGTCTTTCCGTCCTCTTCGTTCTCCTTTCTTCAACTTAGCTCGCTCTTGAAAGCTGCTGCCTCCCTCCCTCACACATTCCTGTGTGTTTGAAGCAGGTGAACACCCACACACTCACACACCATCACAGATCTTTTTCTTTTTTTTTATCCATGACAAGAAGCCATCTCCCTGAATATCAAAGGTCCTTCTTGAAGAGCATGTAGGAATGACTCACCCCCAGGTCTGTCTCACTAACTCACTGGATTTGGCTGCTGCAGCACGCTGAGTGGACACTGTCTCTGAACTTCAGTAGGGTGCGTTTGTCACCCAGCTAGGTGAAACTCAGCAGTGCACAGATATTTCTAACTGACCCATTTGTCCCACCCAGGTCCTGCATGCATGCTGGGGGTCCTTCCTGACCATAGCAGTGCTCTCCTCAGCACCATGTCAAAGCATGGCTGCCGAGCCAGGAGGGCAGAGTAGCTGTGACAGCTACAAAGTGGCTGAGGGAACTGTGTACTTTAGTTCAGACTGCTTTAAACCACAGCTGTGCAACACAGCAACTTTCCCCCAGTGAAACAAACTATTTATTAGTGCCCCTTTTTTAAGTTTCTGGATATACAGAAGTTATTCCGTGCTATTGTTTTAGCACAGAGGGCTGTGGCTCAGGATGTATATCATCATCCTCCATGAGGAAAGGTTGGTGGTTTGATCTCCAGCCCTGCAGTTACTATGTTAGTTTGCGTTATACACATGGGGAGCATTGGAAGTGGTGCTCACCATTATTTACTAAGTTTGAAATAAAAATGTTAACCAATATGGGGGGTGCAGGGAAACTGTACGCCATTCAGCCCTTTATTTCTATCTGTTGAAAAAGAAAAATCATGCAACTCTGATCTAGATAGCCCCATTACACGAGCATTGCCCATAATTCCATCCATCTTCTCCCGCTTATCCGTGGTCGGGTCGCGGAGGTAGCAGTTCCAGCACAGAGCCCCAAACTTTCTTTTCCCTGGCCACATCAACCAGCTCTGACTGGGGATCCCAAGGCGGCCTCCCAAGGCCAACCCTATCCCCTGTGTGCCTTCCCTCCACCTGGTTCTAGGTCTACCCCTTGGTCTCTTCCCAGCTGGGCATGGCCCACAAGATGTAAATGTTGGTTTCCTTGCCTCCGGATGAATGTCTGTGAACGTATACATTCTATCTTGCATACATACAGTCCTACAAGAGTTCATAAAGAGCAGAAGAGCATGATATAAAAGCAGCATATATTTA